CGTACTTACGTCCTACGTGTTTTCAACCTCGTCGCGCCATAATAGCGGGCGCCGGCTCGGCGGTGAGCAGCAGGCGTGCCAGACGCGGTGACGTGGTCGTCGCCATCTGTCCCGTTCATTCACCACAAGCTCTATCAGATGATGAGTAGCTTACATTTCACACAAAGAAGCCTTTATGATTCTTTGCCCTGGAAGGTCGGGGGGCCGGTCGGTCGGGGCGGAGGAGTCACAGGCCAGAGCGGGGGCGTGTTATCCAAAACATAAAAGACCCCCGCGTTATCCCCACAATACTGTCCCTCCCCTCCAGATTCCCGTGTATTCCATCAACGGCTCCTTTTGTCTCCTGACTTTGAGTCGGCGCCGGCCGAGCCCGGCCTCCTGTGGCGCGCGGCGTACGACGCTTCACATTCAGAAGATCCGTCGTAGAGTTCCTTTTTCCTGGCTATCCCACTCTCACCCCGGCCCTCAGCGGCAGCAGCGGCCCTACTGCTGCTGCCGCCCACGCCTCGTCCACCTCCTCGCCCCCCACGCGTGCTGCCAGACATCCCTGGCCTGACGGGAGTTATGTCCAGTTAAAGGAGCCGCCCTTGGGTCCCTATGCCAATATAGCTATAGCTCTGGACGCTGGACGATCGGGACCGTAGCGCGTTTTTCTCTTAACTGATACAACATGGCTCTTTAGCGCAGTCCACCTCGTCTCGGCCTGGCGCCGCCCCGTCTAGTGTCCCGCTGAAACAAAATCCTCGCGGTCCCGGCCGGTTGTCCCCCCCCCCCCCCCCGGTACTCACACCTCTTCCCTCTTCTTCCGCGGTTTCCTCGTCGCGGTGTGACGCCACGGCCCCGCCGCTGGTATGGCGCCGCTGAAAAGAACTGTTCGTCCCGTTACATAAAAGAGCGGACAATGGGGGGGGGGGAGAAAAAGTTTGGGGGGGCCTGTGATCGTCATTTCGCCATAGCAAACCAGGTGAGGGCGAACAAGGGGGCCCTTTGTCGTGTCAGGCTCGCGACTCGCCGCGGTGATCGAGGGAGGGGGGATGGAAGGGGTTGGGGGGAGGGGGCGTCCCGGACAGGGGTGGCTCTGAGGCCCGCTTGCAAAGGGCCTACAAAAGATGCGCAGGGCGCCTCTGTCTGTCTGTCCGGTGCTATAGGCGCTCTCGCTCGTGTCCGGCCCAGACGGGCGCACCCTAGCAGCCGTGGTCATGGTCATGTGCACCGCTTTGTGCTAATGCGATGTGAGGCGCACGGGCACCGCCGCCGACCCGGGCTACGCGCTGCCCGATGAGCCCGCTGTCTCGAGGGGCAGTGAGAGGGAAGACCAGAGGGGCGTACTACTTCATTTTGCCGAAAGCTTGAACGCACACCCCTCGCCCTCCGCTCCTCTCCGCCTGCGCCTTCCGTGCCCGTTTAATTAGAGAGACAACGCCCCACCGACAGCTGCCATCCACGACCATAAGAGGGTTAAGCGCACGGCTGGGCGCACGGCCCCCGGCCCCAACATAATATGCCGCGTCCCCTGCTGATGCGCCATTTCTAAAACTCGTTCTTTCTTTGCTTAAATTTTTCCACATTTTCTTTCTTGTTTATCTAAGGAAATATAGTTGCAGAGTAAAAAAGTTCGTCACGAAAGAACTGCCTAGTTCGCCATAGTAACTGCATCACTGCATACGGATAAAGGAGATCTGCAGTTCTTCGTGACGGACTTTTTTGTTGCAGAATGTTTCAGTTATCACCACTTACGGAACAAAGGGTTTGCGATTTACAGTTGGCAGAACACTTCTGCACTTACAGATGTGGAGAGACGCAATCAGGTCGCCGCGCGTCGCCTCGCAGCTTCTTAGTGTTTTGTAAGACGCCGCGCAGCTAAATTGCTCCGTGGCATTTGCATTATGGCCTCCAGGTCAAGGGTCACGACGGATAACGATAGGATTAGTCAGTGCGAGAGAGACAGACTTAAAGGTGACCCAGAAGAGTGAGAGAGCGCGAAAATGACAACAAAGTAGCCCGCGGGCCGCTTACAAGGAGACTTAGGTAAGTGTAAATTCCCGATTCGGTTCAAACTCGGTATATTTGCTTCTTGACCATGTAGATGACGAACGCCGGTCGGATTTTGTGCTGAAGTTCACATCCCGGGGTACTTTATAGGAGCGTTTTATAGAAA